CAAGTGTTAAAATCAAGTTAGAAGTCAATTCAAAAGTGTTCTACAGCACCTAAATTCAGATCTCTTCATTTATTCAGAGTTGTTTCAAAATCGCAACCTTTTCAGTACAAATGATACTTAATTTTTCTGTGGTATGTATTGAAACATTATGTTTTTTTGAAGAAATTTTTTATTTACCTTTTTTTTTTTTGGAGAGAGAGAATGGGAGGAAGGGAGAGGGAGAGAAGCATCATCTTGAGAACTAAACATGCCCCCTTCTGGGGATTGAGGGTGCTACCTGGATATGTGCCCTGACCAGGAATTGAACCGGCATCCGTTAGGTGCAGGGGATGATGCCCACCCAATTGAGCCATGCTAACTAGGGCTGTGTTGAAACATTTATACACTAAGTGATAAACTTGATGAAACAGCTAAAAAAAAACTTGTGCTAATAAGCCCTTAAATGTCATTATGAGGAAAGAGTTAGAAAGTGGTTGTTTGAAAAATTTGCTTTGAAAGAAACGTTGGCCATTGCTTCAAATTTATAACCTTCTTATGTAAAACACCTAAGTGTGTCATATAAAATTTCATTTTACACATCACATATAAGTATATTTAGACACTCACACATAAACATGTCTATAAAAATTGTTTTCCTATTTTTGTCACTTCAATTAGCTGAAAGTTAGTACTCAAAACTGTCAAGTTCCTGAAATTTACTTTACAAAGTTTTTAATGAACTAAAAGGGCAGTCCATTATTCTCTTAGTGCATTAATAATCAGAAGCTATCTTTCTTTGCTTGTCGGAGTTTCAGTTGGAGGACTAAGGGGAGCAGAAACAGTTTCAGGGATAAGCATGTGTTTAATTTGTACAAGGAGGCCTCGTTGGGAGTCCTCTGGCTGGGAAAGCGAGCTTGTGGCAAGGCCTCTCTCTTTCTAGTCTAGGAGGGACACTTGGTAAGGCCTTGCTGGGGCATCTGCGAGTTTGTACTGACAGGCTGGGAAATTGGACTGGTTGATGTGGTAAGGAGGATGCAGTCCTGAGGTGGAGAGGGGTCACAGCCACGGGAGCTCCTTATTGCTCCCATCTATCATTTGGCTATCGTTGCCTTCTGATCTTCCATTCTTTTTTCATCAACTAAAGCTTAAATTTCATAAAATTATTTCACTTTTGTGGATCCCCCAGAGCATATAAAATATTCTGTAAATATTTGGGAATATTTGGATAATAAGACTTAATCTTTGAGCTTTTAGTGGCGGATGAAAAAGCGATTTAGCGGTTTTCAAATGTCTTTTCTAGGTCTGTAATTTCTTCCTTTCTCTCTTTCTTTGGTAAGGTCATGGCCCCATTCTGATTTACATAAAATATTGTGCATTATATGCACACATGTCAACTTCAAAAATAAATCCACATGATCATGTTTTATCTGGACACTATAAAAATTATTCTGCTTTTATGAGACACTTCAGCCCTTGTAGTTGATAAAGCAAAAATATAACTTTCTATAAGGAAAATTTTGATAAGGAAAGGGGTTTTCATTTGTTCTCTTTATATTTGTTCTAAGTGCTTATCTGAGTGCCTGGAATGGAGATGACACTTGGGGTAGTGAATGAATAAATGAGCGAGAGGGAAGAAAGAATGAAGGGAGGACAGATGAGAGGAAGGAATAATGGATAAAAGTTTTTGGGTTCAACTTTCAAAATATCATTTCATGATCAGAGCAGTGATATTCTCAGATAGCTGGTGGTCATAGACATCAGTCAGTGAAATGGCCATCCTGACCAGAACAGCTAGCTGGTCCCTGCTCTGCCCCCTGTTGCTGTCCCTGGCTAGCTAGTATATGACTGTTTCCAAGGGGCTCTGTCTTGAGGGCCTTGGGAAGTCTTTTTCCTCTACTTGCTTTCAATGTTCATCAACTATGTGTCTTTTTATAGACTAAACGTAGACAGATTAATTTGCAGGAATATCCCTGCATCTCTTTCTTCCTGCATATTGTCAGTGAAAAAATAATTAAATTTATGAGCAGGACAAAATTTTATTTCATTTCTGTTCAACCAATGGGCCTCTTCTCTTCTCTGTGTGGTTTGTCTTTCAGTGAGGCGGCACTGTGGCAGTGTCACCTAGTCTAGCAGGTGTATCTGGGATGACTTCTTATCTAGGAGGCCACCTGCGCTTTTCCATTTGAGGCTTTGCTGATTGCTTTCTCCATTTCTGTTTCTGTTGAACAAACAAATAGTGCTGGGGTTGACGCGTTTGTTCAGGCAATGTGTACTAGCAAAACTATCTTGATATTTGGAATCAGAAAAATTGGTTTTTAAAATTGTATCTACAATACACTCATGGCACATTCTTGATATATTTATTCCTTGAAGGATCTTTGATAAACTAATACATAAAATAATGGCATGATATGTGTCCAGTGTATGTAATATATTATGTAAATGGCAACTTATCTATATAGTTTTTAATTTTTATTGAGATAGTTGTGGAGTCAGATGCAATAGTAAGAAATAATGCAGGTTCCTGTGTACACTTTACCCTGTTTCCTCTGATGCTAACATTTTGCTAACAATGTATATATTATCACAGCCAGAATACTGACATTGTTAAAATCTACAGAGCTTTTTCAAGTTTCTCATTTTACCCTTACTTATGCATGCATATTTGTGTGTATTTAGTTATATACAATTGTTTTCACGTGGTAAAATGCAAATAATGTAAATTTTATCATCTTAATAATTTTAAGTTGTATTAAATACATGCCTACATAATGCTGTGCAACCTTCGCCACCATCCATTTCCAAAATGCTTTTTAGTTTTTAAGACTGAAACTCTATACCACATAAAACTAAGGAGAAGAGGAAATAGTTTTCCTCTTCTCCTTAGTTCCTGGCAACCACCATTCTACTTTTGGTCTCTATGAATTGGACTACTCTTGGTGTCTCATTTACATGGGATCATATAGTAATTGCCCTTCCGTGAGTTATTTCACTTGGCATAATGCCTTCAAGCTTCAGCCATGTTGTAGTATATCAGAATTTCCTTCCTTTTTAAGACTAATATGCCACTGTAAGTATGCACCATGTTTTTCTTATCCATTCATTCTTCAATGGACACTTGGATTGTTCCCATGTTTTATCTATTGTGAATCATGCTGCTATAAAAAACACACAATTCTATTACTGAATAGATTTGTATATCCACCAACCTAATGAAGATCTTAACAGTTCTAACATCATGGAGATTGTCCATTTTGTTCTTTGTAACCATACCATCTCCCTCCTGTGCCTTCTCCCTTCATTCTTAACCCTGGCAATCACTGACCTGTCCTTTGTTTCTAAAATTTAGACATTACATGATGTTACATAAATGGGATCATATACTTTGTAATCTTTTGTGATTTTTTTTTTTCACTTAGCATAACTCTCTAGAGTAGGGGTGTCGAACTCAATCAGAGAAGGGGCCAAAATCTAAAATCCAGCCTAAATCGCGGGCTGAATGGTTTACTGAACAGTCATAAACTGTCATTGTGATGGAAACGCAGCGGAGTGCAGTGATGACAGCGCTGTGCGGGCCACATTGCAAGGCCTGGCGGGACGGATTTGGCCCGCGGGCCTTGTGTTTGACACATGTGCTCTAGAGATTCATCCCAAGTTGTTGGGTATATCAATAATTAGTTCCTTTTATTGCTGAGTAGTAATCCATCTATACATGTACCAGTCTGTTTGATCATTTATCATTTGAATGACATCTAGGCTGTTTCCAGGTTGGGGCTGTTATGAATAAAACTGTAAACATCTGTGTGCAGGTTTTATATAAGTGAAAAATGTCATTTCTCCAAGAAGTGTTTTCAGACATCATCTTCAGCCCCGGCTGGTAGTGCCGTAGGTTGGAGGGTAGTCCATGCACTGGAAGGTCGCAGGTTCGATTCCTGGTCGGGTGCCATGGTGTTCCCAGTGATACAGGTTCCTGCCATCTGTAAATGAGGTTAACACAATGTCATGTGGACCTTTTTAATAATAGCCTGACAATAGATATCTTAGACAATTGTGGTGAGATATTTGATAACCTTCTTACTGGTCATTTTTTCTCATTCAGCCTCTATTTTTCTGAAGTGGCTCCACCATGTGAAAAGTGCCATGCATCCTGAGATGCTCAGAGCATGTTGCCCTTATTCTCTTGCCTGCTATTCCCTCGATCAGGCAGTGGCTCATGCCCACTGGATTTCACCGGCGACCTTTATGCATTCTTCTCCGCCATCTGAATTTCAGCCCCACAGCCTTCTCTCTGTGTTCTCAATATGGTGTCTTTTCTGCACACTCTTCACTATGAGCAGAGCCTCTGTAATTTGGTCACAGCAGAACCTCAAGGCTGTAGGTCCCAGTTCTCCTCTTGGTGGCCATGGCCACACTGGCCTCAGTTTTTGCACGTGCCCTGTTCACACTGTGAATTTGACCCTGTTCACACTGTGAGTCTGGCCCTGTTCACACTGTTCACATTCAGCTGTCAGCTCACACACCACCTCCTCATGAGGGGCTCTTTAGCATCTGTACTTTTCTTTCGTAGCTTTAAAAGTTTTCTTGTTTAAAACCTAGGGCTCCACATGGTTCAGTCTGGTCATAGAGCCCACTCGAAGGAGTTAGCCAGAAAGTGCGGTATCTTAAAGCAGCTTAAATCTAAACCTTGCTTCCTGTAGGGACTTGAAGCCTTTGTCTCCTACATACTGGCTGTTAGCATGGCATTCCCTCCTTGCCAGGTGAATCCTTGAGGTAGGGTGCTGTCTGACCGCCCGTTCCCATTAACCTCCCTGAAAACGGTCTTGTTTATCTTTCTATTCTTAGAACCTGAACATCGGCTGAAGATGTTAGGTGCTCCGTTATTGTTTGTCAGAAACATGAATGAATGAATGAATGAATGAATGAATGAATCTATGAATGAGAGAAACTACCTCTTTATAAGAGACATTTGGTAAAAGTCTGACAAATTGAGTAAATAATGTATTTTTTTTTTAAATTTCCAGGTGGTTTTTGAAGTAATAACTTCTGGACATCAAGGCTACCTCGCTATTGATGAAGTGAAGGTGTTAGGACATCCATGTAGTAAGTTGTCTCAACTTTTAAACATCCGTGTACATTGTGAGGGGCATGTTTACATTACAGATGAAGAGAAGGCACTGAAACCTGGGGAGCAGTAGTTCTGCTGAGAGACTTCCCTGACAAGTCTCTAGCGGCTGCTTTGCCAGCCCAGAAGTCCAAAAACATGTATTCTGTGTATAATGGCATCGAATGTACCAAAGTGTCTTTAAAATAAAAATCAGGGATGTCTTTGCAATGATGTTTAGATTTCCATTTTGAAGAGTACTACAAATTAAACATTGAAAATCTGTGCATTTTGTCCCTAAATCTAGTATGTTTTGGGCATAATTCCAAACAATATAGCCCCAAACAGGCCTGGGATCTGGTGAACATACAAAATCTACCTAAACCACCTTGGGGCCCTAGAAATGGCCTCTCCTTCATCTTTTATAAATTAGTTCTTTTAAAAAATCCAGTGAAAATAACACACTTTTGTTTCTATCACCCAGTATGAACGAACAGCTCTTGATTGTCATGTTGGCACCTGAACCCTGTCCTTAATCAATAAAATCAATTGCAGGTCTCCAGTCCTGTTTCTCCCTCCCCTCCCCAGGGGCCCCCAGCAGGGAGCTTGCTGCTGGCCCTCTCCATCTGGAAGGCTTCTGGTCCACTAGCAGGTGAAACAGGTGCAGCTGATTTTAGCAGGAAAACTTTGCATTGAAAGGGACCTGGGTGGCAAGCAGAATCCCTGGAAACACTAGGCTAACATAATAGGCAGGAGAGGAAGGGACCACTGTAATTGCTATGCCCATGAAGATAGGGGGACTGCTGCCCCCTCCTGTGCCTCCTGACTTTTGGAGGGCAACCTTTGCCACATGCCTGAACATTCACCTCAGCCTTCGGCACAGAAAACAGAGTGCGATTGTCACGGTAGACCAGCTCAATCATGTTCTCATTCTCCCACAACCATAGGGTGACCTAGAAAAGGAAGCTGTGGCTTCTACAGCTTCTATCAGGGAATCCAGGCCTCAGCTGGCAACATACAGGGGGCATTTCTCAGTTTTAGGAAAGAGATTTAAGAGCTGGGTACCTAGAAATCTGAAAATGTCTGTCTGTGTGTGTGCGTGCGTGTGTGTGCTTACATGTACGCATGCTGTATTTCTCATAATCATGATGTATTCATAAAAAATAAGGAAGTACTGTTTGCCTATTTAAATTCTAATGAATGGTATTCAACTGCACAAATTAGTCTGTATTATCCCTCCTCCCCCAACCCTACCTTCCTTGACATTACATTTTTAAGTCAATCTATGATATTCTAACATGTGAATATTTTACATTTTATTTTTTTATTCTTCTACCAACATTTAGTTTCTCCCCAGTTTTTCTCCATGACAAATATTGTGGCAGTGAACATTCATGTGTGTGTCTCTGGGTGCCCTGTGAGAGAGCAGGGTATGTTCTTGGAAGCAGAATTGCTGGGATGTAGGGTAGAAACAGTTTTAGTTTTTACTACATGCTGTCAAATTGCTATGAAAAGTGCCTGAGCCAGTTTATATTCCCACTAGCAATGCATGGAAGTTTTATTTTCCTAATATCCTTGCCCCAAATTGATATTGTCAGACTTTAAATCTTTGGCCAGCTGAGGAATAGAAGCCTGCTTTATTCTTATGGTTCCCGGCATTAAAGAGAAATTGGCTATTCATACATTCCTGGAACTCTGCTGACGGTCCTACCCAATTTCACAAAAGAAAGGTTATATCTACAGAGGTATTAGAAATATAAACACTGCTTTAGTGCATGGATTGAATAGATCAGGAGCTCACTCCCTGTACTAGTTACCGAGAAGCCCCGTGTGGTTGTCACATGATATGAACGTCATGACAGAATCTTCCTGGTCCATCCCAGAGGGGTTTTGCTCTCTCTGAGATCTTTATCCGGTCACAACACTGAAGTTTAAGCATAGCAATCATCTCGTTCTTTACTAAGGCAGACGTTACTCTTGTAGCACATTGCATTTGCCTTTTCATCTGTCAGGGAAATCAGTGAATGTAAGAAGAATCGCCTTCCTCTTTTTCCTGAAACGATAGAAGAACGAACAATGCTGTACATAAGTGAAACAGGGCCAATTGAGTTGCTCATAATTACCTGATTTGGAACTTGGCCAAATCCTTGGAGTAATCCCCTCGGGCGTGGAGAACACACCTGGACAGTTCTAATGTGCATAAATGTTGCAGCCTCTGACTCACCTCTGACCAGGAAGTAAAAATCAGAGGCAGTAATACTGAATGCCTACTATGTGCTGAGTGCTCCTTGTTTCTCAGAGCAAATCTTGCCACAGGGCAGATTTTATTGCTGCCCTGGGCGCATATGCAGTGGCCAAGGCCAAGTTTGCACAAGTCTTTTTTTTTTTTTTTAATATATTTTATTGATTTTTTTTATAGAGAGGAAGGAAGAGGGATAGAGAGCTAGAAACATCCATGAGAGAGAAACATCTACCAGCTGCCTCCTGCACACCCCCTGCCAGGGATGTGCCTGCAACCAATGTACCTACCCTTGACCGGAATGGAACCTGGGACCCTTCAGTCCACAGGCTTACACTCTATCCACTGAGCCAAACCAGTTTCGCTGTGCACAAGTCTTTATTGTATTGTATCCCAGGTTCCTTCTACTAGTATATCTGGCAGCTCACCAACAAAACAGCCCCTCTCATTCCGTGGGGTTTGAGTCTCTGCCTTCAGTCATACAGGAAGGCTTAATGCTTGTCCTTCTATCAGAGCCTTCCTGAAATGTGTCTCCTGCAGTTTTGTTCATTCCTTCCAAGCCCAGGCCTATCTATGGTCAAATAAAGGTGTTTATGGTCTCTCCTTTGGAGAATGCTGGGGCTAATACATAATTGGCTTTGCAGACTGCTATGAGGAGACGCATTGAAAACAAGGTGAGCTGTGTGGTACAGCAGCATTTTGAATTGTAAGCTTTAAGTTATCTTGATGCTAGCCCTTCTGTAATTTTTTCCAAACCTCTAAGTTTATGGGGAAAACATGCGAATAAATATTTAAAAGAAGGCAAAAGTATAGTCATTAAATGGAAATCTTTACAGGTAATATTTTTAAGGAATTTTCTATCAAGATTTATAGATAATACTCCTGATTTCATATCCAAAACTGTGTTTCTCAAAAGATGCAAAACTTTATTGACTTCACTCTGCAGGTTCCTTTTTGGATTCACATAGGTTTATGAGAAAAAGTACAATATTTTTTAAAAAGTAGCTGTTCTGTTATAAGTGTACAGTTGCTTGTATACAGTATAATACTGATTTTAGTGTACAGTCAGATGCGGATTGGCTGGGAAATGTAGAAATGGCTGTGCAGACAGCAGCTCTCTGGCTTAAGACCACTTCTAAGGAACATAGATAATTTTTATATTTGGAATGTCCACTAGAAATATATTTTGAATTTAATAATTAAAAAAGATGTATTGCAGAATTGTACACCTGAAATCTATGTAATTTTATTAACCAATATCACCCCAATAAATTCAATAAACTTTTAAAAAAACATAATAATATAATAAAAAATTGAAAAAATCTTTTGTGTGCCATATATTATATAAAGTGAATACAAAATGCAAGACTATTCTGTAATACTCTTTTGCAATATAAAATAAGTTGGTAGTTTGTTTAAATATTTAATAAATGCTGTGTTCAAAATATGGTTCAAAAATAAAATTTTTTACTCATTGATATCTTATATAATAAAAAGGTAATATGCAAATGGTTGTTACACCATAATGCATCGACCAACAGCAGGAGGACAGGGCAGCGGGTGGAGAGCTACAAGAGGGCAGGGCAGTGAGCTATGTGTGGCAGAGAGCTATGAGTGGCAGTGGGCTGAGCAGCCAGCTGAGGCAAGCGGCAGCAAGCTATCATGCACTTAGTGTGCAAGGCTATTTGCATACCCAAACATTGCTTACCTATTTCAAAATTATATTAGTTTTTCTCAATACTAGTTTTTGTTTTGAAGACATTAAACAATGTGATTAAAATAAGACTAACAGTAAAAAATAAAAAATTAGAATTGTTTTATGAATTATGCTCTGTTAAATACAGATAGATCCATATGCTTGGTGAGAAATGCATAGACTCAGAGCAGACATTTCATTTTAAACATGTAGGTACTTAACTTGGATTTTTTTTTCTCTCAAAGGAATATCATTCTTCTTTAGGATACAAGGGACTTATAAAACATATTTGTATACAAAGGCTAACTTATTTTTCTATGATAAGAATGTTGAGCTTACTTTTCCACTTGACAAATTATTCCATTAAGATACATTTTAACTTTCAAGGAAAAAATAAATATTTGTCCCAAAACATGTTAAGAGCAAAGCTTCTTCTATCATAAGAGTTACTTGACTTCTTTGGCTCCATAACCTTATTCATATAATGGAATAATAACAATAAGGCTTTCCTCACAGGGTAAATGTACAAATTATATGAGTTAACGTATAATGAAGAACTTAGAGCAGTGCTTAGTACATTCTAAGAGCTTAATAAATGTTAGCTGGTTATTATTATTATTATTGTTATTATTGTACACTACATCTTGACAGGTCCTCTAGAATGAGTTACCTGCAGATTGTCACCCTAACTAACTCAATTGATTGAGTTTTTGAGTGGGATAATTTATTTAAAAAATTTAAAAAAAAATTAAGTTTGTAAAATATGTTATTTTTCAGTTTTAGAGTAGGCAGTACCAGGCTGTTCTTTTGGTAGAAGTTGTTTTTCTGCTTGTGATGATATGCTAGACAAATAGAGAGAAACATTGGCTTTTTATTTTGTCTGTTGGGCATGCCTCCAGTTTATTTCAACCTATGCCATTACATCAGAATGCAAATGAAAATAAAAGGGGTTAGTGCACAGTCCTCTATTGTCCCACTTCAGTTTGCACTTTGATCTCACAAATTACTGTTCTCTGATTTTGTTAATATTTTGATATAGTCTTTGAAAAATCAATAATATGAAA